GAAGTCCTACATTACCCTGTAGGATTCCCCGAGCACCCACTAAACACACAGGGCTTGCTTTGGAACTGAAAAAATTGCAACAAAGCAAGACAACTGCAGTTACCCATTTCTGCTCTCAACTGTAGTTTCTCTCTTCATTCATTTCTTTGTCAAGTTCTTAAAGGTTCGTAAGTTTCTTTTGGGAGCATGCTTATTTCATTGTACCTCTGTCTACAGCAGTGGTTGTCAACTAGTGGTGATTCTGCCCCTCAGAGGACAGTAGGCAGTGTCTAGAGGCATTTTTGATTGTCAGGACACTAATGGTTGGAGAGAGGTTGTTACTGGCACCTAGTGGACAAAGGCCAGGGATGTCACTAAACATCCTACAATGCACAGGACAGGCGTCCATCATGAAAAAAGACCTGGCCCCCAAATTTCCACAGTGCCCAAGCTGAGAAACCCTGATCCACAAGAGACCTTTGACTTTTACATCCCAAGACCTTTAAGCTTCCCTGAATTTACAAATGCCTCTTATACTGTTTAGTTTCTCCATAAAACTTTTGCCCAAGAACCATTACTTTTTTTTCTTAAGACAGGGTCTCACTCTGTCACCCGGTGAGCAATTACAGCTCACTGCAGCCTTGACTTCTGGGCTCAGGTGATTTTCCCATCTCAGTCTTCCAAGTAGCTGGGACTACAGGTGCTTACCACCATCCCTGGCTAATATTTCTTATTTTTTGTAGAGATAGAGTCTTGCTACATTTCCTAGGCTGGTCTCAAACTGCTAGACTCAAGCCATCCTCCCACCTCAGGAGTGCTGGATCACAGGCATGAGCCACCATACCTAGCCTAGAACTATCACTTTCTTACGCCTCTTTGCTTTCTCTTTGCTTCCATTATGGGAAATCATTCTCCATAAAGAAATAAGGTTTTTATCTCTTTGTAAGTATTACTGCTTACGGAGGCGATAAGCAGAGCACAGAGCTGCAGGGAGGGCAGATGTTAGGTTGTCTGCTGGGGTCTGTTCTGTTAGTGCCCTGCTCCAAATGCTCCAAAACATCCAATCCCCTGTCCCATCCAAAAGGGCTCTGTGCAGTCTGACTGCAGCCTCTTCCAGCCCCACCCCTGCCCAGCTTACTGTGCTTCAGCCACACAGGCCTTCTGAAAGCTCCTCCAGCCTACCTGCCTCTTTCCCACTGTAGGCCTCTGGACCGGGAAGTCTCTCCCTCATCTGTTGCCTGGGCAGCACCTTCTCATCCTCCAGCTCCCTTCCTGTTTCCAGTGCTTTCCCACTGTGTCGTCTCACAGCGCCCTGATTCTTTGCTTCATAACGCCTCTCTCAAGCTGAAACCGTAGTTGTTTTCTTCCCAGGCTGGAGTGCAGTGGCATGATCTCAGCTCACTGCAACCTCTGCCTCCCGGGTTCAAGTGATCTCATGCCTCAGCCTCCCGAGTAGCTGGGATTACAGGCGTGCACCATCATGCCCGGCTAATTTTTCGTATTTTAGTAGAGATGGAGTTTTGCCATGTTGCCCAGGCTAGTCTCGAACTCCTCAGCTGAGGCAATATGCCCACCTCCACGTGCTAGGATCACAGGTGTGAGCCACCGCACCTGGCCTGTAGTTGTTTTCCTGTTGTCTGTCTCCTCCTTAGAATGTAGCCCCATGAGTTCAAGGGCCATATCTGTCTGGTTTATTATCATATCCTTAGTTCCAAGCACGGGGCCCAGTCTGTAGAAGGCTCTTGTTGGTTGTTGAATAAATGAACAGAACTGAACTAGCTAGATGACCCATTCCCACCCTTGTACACACGAGCATGAAAGTGCCAGTGATTGAAACTAACCTCAGCAAAAGTAAACATGAGTTAGTTATAGACATTCACAGTTACTGTGAAAAGCCAGAACTTCCCATTCAGAAGACCAGCAGTGGGCTGTGTGTTCCCTGTCTCGCCCAGCTTCTGCCCTCAAAATTATTCTAGCAGCACCACTCTAAGCCAGGACTCCCAGAGGGGAATCATATCATGATGATGTTGTGATCCAAGCAAGGCAGTAGGAAGATGATTCAAAGTTGTTTTCATCCTTCTGGGATTTGTCTGTGGGATCAAATTGAGGTCGCGGACTGGGCGCAGTGGCTCACTCCTGTAATCCCAGCACTTTGGGCAGCCGAGGCGGGTGGATCACCTGAGGTCGGGTGTTAGAGACCAGCCCAGCCAACATGGCGAAACGCTGTCTCTACTAAAATTACAAAACTTAGCCAGACATGGTGGTGGGTGCCTGTAATCCCAGCTACTCCAGAGGCTGAGGCAGGAGAATCGCTTGAATCTGGGAGGCGGAGGTTGCAGTGAGCCAAGATCACACCACTGCACTCCAACCTGGGTAACAGAGCAAGACTCCGTCTCAAAAAATAAAAATTGAGATTGTGATGTCCAAAACTGGATGATGAAGACTCTCAGCCTCACGTCAGAGATAACCCAAGCAGGGTCCAGTGCAATCAGCTGGGTGTTCCCATCTCCAGCCTGTGTGCCAGGCACCCTGAGAAATGCAGAAAGAAGTGAGACACAGCCCGCAGTCACAGTGAGCTTCATGTTTAGTAACACGGAAAAGAGAAATATGCCAATATCTGAAATCCAAGAGAGGGCATAAGAAGTGTTATTGCCACAAGGATTCAAAGGCGGGAGGCAGGACAACTTTGGGAGCCTGGGAAGGACTTTGTGGTAGAAGTTGCATTAGAGGCCGGGCACGGTGGCTCACGCCTGTAATCCCAGCACTTTGGGAAGCTAAGGCGGGCGGATCACGAGGTCAGGAGATCGAGACCATCCTGGCTAACACGGTGAAACCCCGTCTCTACTAAAAATACAAAAAATTAGCCGGGCGTGGTGGCGGGCACCTGTAGTCCCAGCTACTCGGGAGGCTGAGGCAGGAGAATGGCGTGAACCCTGGAGGTGGAGCTTGCAGTGAGCACTCCAGCCTGGGCGACAGAGCGAGACTCACTCTCAAAAAAAAAAAAAAGAAGTTGCATTGGAATGGGCCCTGAAGGCTGGGTAGGAGTTGAGGGGCTGGGGAGATGGCACGAGAGGACTTTGGTCCTGTGCCAGTTATTCACGTACTGCAGGCAGAGAGCTTTCCTCTCCACAGGGTGGCCTCGCTTATGTCCTGCTCTCAAATGTCCAGTTAGCACCTGCTGGGAAGCCTGTCTTTTCTAACCACTGCCCAGCCCCTTCTTCCCCCAGCCAATAGCCCCAAGGCGGGAGTTGGCCGTCTCTATTTCTTCATGCTTTTTTTTTTTTTTTTTGAGATGGAATCTCACTCTGTCGTCGCCCAGTCTGGAGTGCAGCGGCATGATCTTGGCTCACTGCAACCTCCACCTCCCAGGTTCAAGCAATTCTCCTGCCTCAGCCTCCTGAGTAGCTGGGACTACAGGCACACGCCACAGCCCGGCTAATTTTTGTATTTTCAGTAGAGACAGGGTTTCACCATGTTAGCCAGGATGGTCTCGATCTCCTGACCTCGTGATCCGCCCGCCTCAGCTTCCCAAAGTGCTGGGATTACAGGCGTGAGCCACCGTGCCCGGCCTCTTCATGCTTTAAAAAAAAACATAATTGACCGAGTCTGGGGGAATGGGCAGCAATTTGTGTGTTTCTGATCACAAATTCAGCATGTGGCTATCTTAGAAAACTTTTAAAATAAAGAAAAGCGCATCTTTCTAAGAACAGGAAGAGAAAATGAGAAACGGGTGAGCATTCCCAGAGATGGGGTGTTTGTCTTTTTTAATGATCAGAAACAGGTGGTAAAGCATACGGTAAGTCGCCCAGTTTAGCAGAGTACAGGAAGACCAGTTAGGAGTCTACTGCACCAGTCCAGGCCAGAAAGACTCATTTGAATTGTAAATAAGGATAGGAGCCAGAGTTAGCCACCAAAGAAGTTCCAGAAATAAAGTCACTAGGACTGTGATCTGGGGGGGAAGGAAGGAGTATGGGGCTACTAATGGGGTGTCTAGGTGTAGGTGACTAGCAGGCAGCTGGACTTGAGGTCTGCAGATAGGTTGATACTAAGAGAAATACACGAGGAAAGGAGGCGTGTGCTTGGTGGAGCCTGCTGATTGCACCAGTAAAGGAAGCAGATGATGCCAAAATAAGGGTGGGCTTCTGGGAGGGAGGATTGGCAGGGGAGGAGGCTGGGGGATTGGAGAGCATCACAGAAGGGTAGGGGCTTGGGTCAGACAGGAAGTTCACGGTTCAGATCTTGGAAAGGGAATCATTGTAAACTGTGGGTTGGTTTAAAAACCTGAAGTCAGTGACCTGAGAAATCACCCTGAAGTTGGGTGGGCAAGCAGGGAGGGAAGGATGGGGAGTGGCTGCTAATGGAAATGGGTTTTTTTGGGGGGTGATAAAATGAAATTAGCTGCTGGTGCTGGTCACACAGCCTTGTGAATATTACTAAAACCCACTGATGTATGTACTTTAAATGGGTGGATTTTATGGTATGTGAATTATATCTCAAATTTATTAAAGAAAACCTGAAGTTGATATGGGGAGGGGGTGGAGAAAGGGAAGCATGAATATCCATGTCCCAAAGGACAATGGCGAGGACCTTCAGCCCACATGCTCAGTGGTCTTGGAAAAGTGGGTATTTCTTCGAGGTCAGCATTATGCGCTCACCTTCGTGCCAGGTACCCCGCCTATGGTGCTCTGACCCCAGGAAGCCTACAGCCTGGTTGAGCAGAGTGCTAGCATCTGCGATACAGCTTTAGGAGGGGGCGGCAGTGATGACAGTAGGAATAGGGATGAAACTGAACCCCAGGGCTTGAGTCATCCACGTATTCATGTTTGGTTAACAGGCTCTGTGGTTGCAAGGCCTGGCTCCTTAGACCCCAGGTGTAATTCTCCTGTCCTGCCTCCTTCCCTGTCTAAAGTCTGGCCTTCTGGCCTCCACAGCGGTGCCATCACTAGGGTCGTTCCTTGGGAACTGTTAAGGGGAGATGTTGATTAAGTTCTGGGCTTGAATGTCGCCTCTGTCGGTTCCAGGTTGGGCTGGTGTACATGTTTAACCTCATCGTGGGCACGGGTGCGCTCACCATGCCCAAGGCCTTCGCCACCGCCGGGTGGCTCGTCAGCCTCATCCTGCTGGTGTTCCTGGGCTTCATGAGGTGAGAGGCAGTGGGGGCTTTCCCACAGGGGCCAGGAGTGGAGCAGGAGGCAGTCGGCCCAGGAAGCCCGAACATGAGGGCACTGAGGGGTGGGAAGACCTGTCTACCCCGTCTCTAGCTCAGTGAGTCCCTGCCAGGGTAGTCAGAGAGGAGACAGTAGTCACAGAGGCCTCCTGGTGGCTTGTGTTAGTGGAGCGGTTACACAGCCCTGGTCAGATAAAAACCTGGACGTCCACTAGGCTTTGGAATGTTTCATATGATGCTGGCCTATTTCTTCCCTGGCAGATTTACCTCCCCTGCTATTAAATGTATGCTTTATTAACATTACCATCAAGTTTTGCCATCTGAGAAAATACCACCCAGCCACAGAAAAAGAATCTAACAAACATTTAAGGTGATATGGGAAATCAGTTTGGAATTTAGAATTTACTTAAGGTAATTCACAAATCAGGTGATAAACACACGGCTGGGTGCATGATCAAGCATGGCACTCGCCTGTCGTGTACCTCCCCAGGTCTTTAGGGACGCCTACTCCTTGAGCCAGGTGTGTGGGCCTCACCAGCCGGTGCTTCAGGGAGGGTGGGTTCCACCTGAGGCTCTTCTCAGGATTCCCACACACGTGGGGACGGGACGGGTCTGAAGTCGTCAGCAAGTGCCCCAGGCCAGGAAGGGATTTAGGACTAGGCACTTCCATCCTCAACCAGGTAGGAATCCACAAACTGCAAAAAAGATATGGGAAGGAGCACCTGGAAATACCTCCCCTGAGAGAAGCGACCCCCGATCTGTGCACCAAGCACCCTTCGGGGTACTGAGGGAGCCTCACCAACAACAATCTCTGCCTGTGCAGACTTGACTTTATTTTGTGGGGAGACAGACAGTGAGCAGTGAGGATAATAAATGGGTAAATTGAAGAGTGAGCTGGAAGGCAGTGAGTGCTGTGGAAAGAGGAAGGCATAGCAGGGCAAGGGGACTAAGATGCCGGGTGAAGCAGGGTTAGGGAGGGCTGCATCTAAGTGAGGATCTGAATGGGGAGGGGGTGGGTGCTGGTGGAAGGATGAGACGGAGCTTAGTAGTTGGAGCAAACTAAGACGTACAAGAAGCTGAATGGGATAGGAAAGCACCCATGGTTTTCAGTTTCTTCATGCATTTCTTTTGGGGATTTTTAAGAGTGAATCTTGGGGCACTATTGGTTCATTATCTACTGTGAGCCCTGGCAGCCAAGAGCTCTAGAAGTCTTTGTCCTTACATGACTCTGCTGTCCCCTTTAAAGGACCTTCAGCACAGGCAGCCATCGAATGGGAAGTGTTCATTAGGGGCTCCCAGGCAGGGGCTGCCACACCCCGCTCCTTGCTCAACCCATTTGTGTTTGAACGTGATCAATGAGTTGGCCTTCCGCAACCATGAGAAGTCTCTTTATGCCTTAATTAAGATTGATTTTAATTTCACTTCCAAAAAGAAGGGTAAATCCAAAGCCCTTAAAATGGTCACTTAGGCAAGATAATGAGAAACCTTTCTTGGAGATGCTGAGGCAGTTGGAATGGGGGTTTCAAAGCTGGCTGCTCCCCCAGAGTGGGAGTGAGTGTGGGTTTAACTGATGTGGGGCCAAGCGACTCCTCCGCCTCCTGCCACCTGACCTCGGGGCGAGCAGTCAGCCCCCCATCCCTTGTCAATACTCAGGGAAGGGCAGGGGTGAGTCTGATGGCAGAGCTGTCCTGGCCTCAAGAAAGCAGGAGATGAGTGTTCGTCCCACGCTGTTCCATGGCAGAGATGGATCCATACCTCAGGTTTTATTAGCAGGAAGGCAGCCCACTTCTGTATTCTCCGTTAACAAAAGCATTCATGCATTCCAGCTGTCATCTAGGTCTCAAGTTTCTTTAAGAGGAAAAGAAAAGATGATTTTTCCAATCTAGTCTGACTTCTCGGCAAGCATCTGAGGCCACCTCCCAATCTCCCTTTCGAATTGGTCCGTAGAAGTGCAAGCTTATTTTAATATTAGCCAGATTATTTGGAAAGTAAAAAGTACTGCCAAAGAAAAAAGGGATGGATTCTGGAGCCGAGTGCCCATTTCCAATTATCCATGCCAGTGCTCCTTCCATTAGTGTATGTAATTGGGAGGTGACCATTTGCCTGTGTCCTTGCAAGGTGAGGTGAAAGCTGCCTGCTGTCCTTCCAGAAGCTAGGGGGGCCCTTTGTGAAGCAGCCTCCCCTCACTGAGAGCATCCTTTGGCATCTGTCCCCCACAGCCCCTCCTGGGTGTGCAGCACAGCTTGTCCCAGCGTCGCTTCTGCCCCCAGCTCCCTCTCTCCTTTGGGTAGTTTCCCTCCCATCACTCAGCTCACGCCCCTCTCTCTCGTGCACCGGAAATATGTTCTCACCTTAGACAGCAACATCAAAGCACGCACACCTTTTTACCAGGTAAAGCCCATCTCTAGGGAACAGCTCTCAGGAAAGAAAATGGTCCGGGCTGGTGGGTCTGGTCGGTTCTTACAATGGTGTCTCCCTTCTGTCTGTCTCCTCCAACCTCCTGTCTGCCTTTGGCGCTGGGCACTCGGACCCCTCAGCTTCGTGACCACCACCTTTGTGATAGAGGCCATGGCCGCAGCCAACGCGCAGCTCCGCTGGAAGAGGATGGAGAACCTCAAGGTGTGTGTGTCTCTGGGCTGTGCCTCTGTTCCACCAGCTACCCAACAGGCGCTCTCAGCAGCCCATTCTTTTCCTCTCAGTGCACGGCGGGCTCTGTCCATGGCACTGCTCCCGGACCCCAGTCCCAGAGCTGAAGCTTAATAGCCACCTAAAGCTTAAAGCACAGATGGAGCCTCTGCCACTTTCCCGTCTCAGCCTCAGGCCCTCCTACCCCCACCCGCACCCAGCTCAGCTATTTGAAACCTTTGTACCCAGGAACTGTGCTGTTTCTTCTTCCCGAGTGAGTCTCCACCACCTCTAATGGGGCAGCATAGCTGTGCTGAGAGCTTCCTAATCAGATACAGATACCCTGCAGAAAGAACACGGGGGCCAGTGCGGTGGCTCACACCTGTAATCCCAGCACTTTGGGAGGCCGAGGCAGACGGATCACTTGAAGTCAGGAGTTCAAGATCAGCTTGGCCAACATGGTGAAACCTCATCTCTACTAAAAATACAAAAGTTAGCCAGGCGTGATGATGTGTGCCTGTAATCCCAGCTACTCAGGAGGCTGAGGCACAAGAATTGCATGAATTGGGAGATGCAGGTTGCGGTGAGCTGAGATCGCGCCACTGCACTCCATCCTGGGCGACAGAGTGAGATGGTATGGAGTGGCAAGTGTCTCAAAAAGAAAAAAAAAAAAGAGGCCAGGCACAGTGGCTCATGCCTGTAATCCCAGCACTTTGGGAGGCCGAGGTAGGTGGATCACCCAAGGTCAGGAATTCAAGACCAGCCTGACCAACACGGTGAAACCCCATCTCTACTAAAAATACAAAAATTAGCTGGCCGTGGTGGCAAGTGCTTGTAATCCTAGCTACTCGGGAGTCTAAGGCTGGAGAACCGCTTGAACCTGGGAGGCAGAGGTTGCAGTGAGTTGAGATCGTGCCATTGCACTCCAGCCTGGGCGACAAGAGCAAAACTTCATCTCAAAAGAAAAAAAAAATAAGAACAAATGAAGCAGGTTCACCATTGTCCCAGGGCTTTTCTGTAGAGTTCCGTGCTCTTTTTTTTTCTTTTTCTCTTTTTTTTTTTTTTTTTTTGAGACAGGGTGTTCACTCTGTCACCCAGCCTGGAGTGCAGTGTTGCAATCACGGCTCACTGCGGCCTCGATCTCATAGGCTCAGGTGATCCTCCCATCTCAGCCTCCCAGGTAGCTGGGACTACAGGCACATGACACCACACCTGGCTAACATTTTGTATTTTTTTGATGTGCTTTTTTGTTTTCCTTTGTTTTTCTCCCTCCTCCTCATCCATCCTACCGCCTCCTAGGAGGAGGAAGATGACGACTCCTCCACAGCCTCAGACAGCGATGTTCTCATCCGGGACAACTACGAGCGGGCAGAGAAGCGGCCCATCCTGTCTGTGCGTAAGTCTTGGGATCCTCACGGGCCTGCACTTCCCTCTGGGCCACAGGGTTCCCTTTCTTCGTGGAGAGGCCCTGGGGAGTCTCCCTGCAGACTCTGGCATTTCCTGTCCCCGGTTTCTGATGCAGGCCCTGTGGTAGACTCAAAAGATCACAGGGTTTCAGTCCTGGGCACAGGCCTGGCCCCTGCTGGCTTAGTCACTACTCAGATTTGCTGCTTGGTGAGTTCCTTGACCTCTGCACCTCAGTTTCCCCCCACCCCCCTTCCTGTTGCTGAGATGATTAAATTCTTGGTTCCTTGCCTGGTGCACCCTGGAAGCTTGAGTAAATGTCGTTCTGTGGCGTCTCTTCTTCCTCCTGCCCTGTGCCCTCATGTTCATATACGCCCCTGCCTTGCTGTCTCCTTCCTGGTCGGCTGGGTTGGGCTCTGATGCCTGCTCTCCCTTTCACCCCAGCAGGAGCATCTCTGAATTCCCTTTAAAAAAAAAAAAAAAGACTGTGTTAAACCATGTCAAGCAGGAAACATTAGGAAAAGTTTTCTCGAGTTTGAACACTTGGGGATTTCATGGTTTAGATAATTCAGTGAGGTCCACACCACCCTCTGAAGCTCTCCCCGTGAAGAACCACTTCCTCTTTGTTGTTCTTTTGGCTCCACAGAGAAACGTGGATCTCCCAACCCATTTGAAATCACAGACCGGGTGGAAATGGGACAAATGGCCTCCATGTTCTTCAATAAAGGTAGAAGTTCTTTTGGGGGTGGGGTGTGGGGAAATGGGGAGCTGGTGCTTCCCTGCAGACCTGCGCCCTTGTAATGAGGGCTCCACCCTGACAGCCAGACCATGGGGCAGAGCAGGTGGTAGAGCTGCTCCCTCAGCACCTGGAAGCCACCTTGCTGACCTGTTTTCGTCGATTCCTCCCTCTCTGTGGGCATTAAAAACAAAGAGGCAGCTTCTTTAGTGGAAGTCAAGAACCCAAGGAAGCTACTCCAGCGGAGGTCAGGAGCCCCAGGCAGCTACTCCAGCAGAGGTCAGGAGCCCCAGGCAGCTACTCCAGCGGAGGTCAGGAGCCCCAGGCAGCTACTCCAGCAGAGGTCAGGAGCCCCAGGCAGCTACTCCAGTGGAGGTCAGGAGCCCCAGGCAGCTACTCCAGCGGTGGTCAGGAGCCCCAGGCAGCTACTCCAGTGGAGGTCAGGAACCTGAGGCAGCTACAAAAGAAGCTTTTTCCTTTTCCTGCAAAGGAAGCTGATGGAGGCCACTGATGGTTTTGCACCTCCTGCTTGATTGCCTCTGACCTTGCCCTCTTCTGGCCGATTCTGTCTAGAATAACACCTGACAGCGATAGGATCTGCTACCCGCACGCCTGGGTCTGGTTTCCCAGTGGCCGGCAGAGGGCGCCAGGAGCCCACACCCAGGCTTGCCAAGTGAGACCGGAGCCCTAAAGTGTGCTGGTGAATCTGCTCCTTCCTGGGATCTGGCTACAACCATAAGGGAGCCACCCAACTCTGGGGTTGAGTTGTTGGCTGTTCCAGCGACATCTTATGTCTCATGGCAAATCTGGTTCTTTTGGAATATGAGCTATTTAAGAGTTCAGTGGCCGGGCACGGTGGCTTATGCCTATAATCCCAGCACTTTGGGAGGCGGGCAGATCACTTGCGACCAGGAGTTGGAGACCAGCCTGGCCAACATGGTGAAACCCCATCTCAAGTGAAAATATGAAAGTTAGCTGGGCGTGGTGGTGCACACCTGTGGTCCCAGCCACGCCGGAGGCTGAGGCACAAGAATCACTTGAACCCGGGAGGCAGAGGTGGCAGTGAGCCAAGATCACACCACTGCACTCCAGCCTGGGCTGCAGCGTAAGACCTTGTCTCAAAAAAAAAAAAAAAAGAAAAGAAAAGAAAAAAGAGTTTAGTTTTCAATGCCCAGACCTGTTTATTTCCATTTCATTGAGAGTCACATTCTCAGTTCATCCTTCCCCTTGCAACTGTCTTGGAAGATTTTCTGCCCCTTTGTCAAAGCCCCATTTGTTGAGTGGGCTGCCCTACCAGTTCTTTCTAGTCTTAAATGTGACTGCACTTAACTTAGAGCCGGGGGGGACTGTAGGAACTAGAATCTCCTTGACTGCTTTTAGGACATTAAGCATTTAGTTTGTCATTGGCGAAGCAATGTGATTATCAGCCAAAGGCAGCCCTAGGGCCTGGTTCACCCTCCCTGCTGGACCGACCTCACAGAGGGTTTTCAGAATTCAGCAAAACCAACTGGTCAGGTTCAGCCCACATCTGTGCTTCTCCTTTGTTCCATTTCTATCCCTCCCGTCTCACCAGCCTGAGCAAGCATAAGCGTTTCCTCCTGGCAGCCACGCAAAGTCCCCTTCCAAATGCAAGCTTTAAAATAAAGTGCACATTGGAAGGAAGACGCATGCCTTTTAAACCTCCTTTCTCATTTTCGGGTTCTGCAATCTGCCCTGATTTCTGTAAGAATTCTGGGAACCAGCAGTTTTGCCTTTTTTCCCCCCACCACAGACTAGACTCTTAATTTGCCCAAATCTAATGGAAAATAAAGACGTTTGTCTGAGACCAGCCTCACACTTAGAGGGAGTCTCCTTCTCTACCCCAGAGT